GTCTGTATTTTTCAGGCTTCTGAGTCAAGTTCAAGTGCAGACAGCACTATAAATGGAACTTTCCAAAGAACACCCTCTCAGATAAAATAATTACATAAATTCATAAGTTTATAAATATATATTCATATTCATAAAGTTCTATAAAATATTTTTCTCTCTTAACTCTCTTTTTTTGGTATTTAGGAAGATTTGATTTTTCTTTTTTTACAGTTCATATCATTTTCTTTTTATAGACATTATCAGTTTTCTAGAATGGGAACTATTGAAATTAATTAATAACCCATTTTCCCTCAACTTTGCCCATTTCAAACTTTAAATTTATTCTTTATAGTTATATTTATTGTTAGTCTCTTCCAGAGATAATTTACCTTTGCTTTTGGCAGGAAATTAGAGTAGAAAGACTACTTTAACTCTGATAGAGATGGATGGAGTTGTCTCATATTTCTGGTAGGAGTGTAAAATAATATGACTACACTAGAACACTATTTCATGGTTCCTTTTTTAATGATTTTTAGTTGCAGATGGACAAAACACCTTTATTTTATTTACTTATGTGGTGCTGAAGCTCAAATCCATTGCCTCCTACTTGCAAAGCAAGCGCTCTGCCACTGAGCCACAAACACAGCCCTGTTTCATGGTTTCTTAAAGAGTTACACTTACACCTTATGCCCCATTCATTCTGCTCTTAAATATCTTCTTAAGGGAAATAAAAACATTTGCTGAAGTGAGGACTTGTACCTGATTATATTAACAACTTCATTCAAAATAGTCAATAACCTGGAAATACTAAAAAAAAAAACTGTCAACAGATGTAATGCATAAACTATAATGCTCAACAGAACAATATTATCCATGCAGTAGAACTTTACTAGTAATGGAAACAAGTAAAGTATTGACATTAATCCATTCTGGATAAGTCTCAATATTATGCTCGCTGAAAAATGCCAGACTTGAAATAATATACACTGCATGGATTTTTCTACAGAAAATTTCAAGAAATTAAAAACAAAAAAATAAAGTAGATTATCATTTGACTAAATCCCCAGTAAAGAGACAAAAAGAGTTTGGAGGAATGACAGAAATTTTCTCTTTTGGGATATTGGTTGCATGGGTATATGTAACTAGAAAACACTGAACTGTATATTTAAGTTATGTTTTATTCTCCACATATTATACCTCACTAAAGCTGATTATATAAAGGGTTTCAATCTTTTGGGGGCTGGTCTATAACCAGTCTAAGCTTACTCCTGTATTGCTATACTTCAATCCTGGGTGTTTAATAAAGCCATGAATTCCATGATTTCCCCAGTGCTGTGAGACTATGAAGACCCTGCTTCTCAGCATCTTTGCTACCTCTATGACTCATGACTGAAAAAAATAAATATGACAAATAGGCCGTTATACATACTGTAAAGAAGTCAAATGAAGAGAGAAGCAAGGTGCAAAATCAGAATGGTAGAATGGCCAATTGCCAGCTTTATTTTTATCAATAGGTTACATTAGGTCAGTGGCATCAGTAGTACATTATTGTTCATTGTATCATTAGCAGATTATATAGTTAGCAATATTATACAGCTTATAACTCAGTTACATAATATAGTTAGAATGTGCAATATTAAGAGATTTGTGTAGGTCTCAATAAAGTCCATTGTATAAAGTTACTGTTATGTGGACAGGTTCAGGTACAATGGAGCTTGGTGAAATATTGTGGTTGTCTAATGATAGTGTTTCTTTATTCCCAGGAGCTATGTGGGTGAGATCAAGGTCAAGACTGGCAAGACTCTAGAACAGAGCCTCCTCATGCAGGGCATTGGCTATAGCAGCTAGGCAGCCCATGTCTTTGCACAGAAGTTTTCCTAGCACCAGGCATTCTATGTCTTTGTACAGTAAATTCCTAGCAGCCAGTGCCTTTGCACAAAAACTTCCTAGTCACCAAGCAGACCACAGACATGAAGCCTCCAGAGATGCTAATCCCAAACACTGCACCCTTACAACTTAGGAGGCCCAGTTTTCCGTGCTTCACTTTTGTCTGAAATTTTAATTCCTTGACCCTGGATTCCTTGGCAGTCTTGGATTTCAGCTTTTGTCTCTTGGACTGTTTGTAGTTGCCCAAATTTCTGTTTTAACAGACATCTACAATTCTTCATGTCTTTGGCAAGAGTTACCTCCTATTACTTATTAGGATCATACTTTTTTTTCTCATTAGTCAGATCCTATCTTACTTACGTGTCTTATGATTATATCAAAAAGTTTTCTGTCTGTTGGCCTTTACTAACTGCAGAAGCACATCGAAATTAACTGAGAATAACTTTTCCAACCTTATTTTGGACATGATTTATCAACATTATAATTCAGGAACTCTGCAGTGGGTTCAAATTTATGATTTTTAAAAAGCTCTGTTAGATTGTCAGATTTGCCTACCCCTGGGAAACATTTTATATTCATTTCAGCCATGTCTTTCATTAGGTGTATGAAGAAGCATCTTACTCAAAATTGAATGTTAATATTTTTGTAAATCTCATCTAAAAGTATACACTCTCTATATTATTAATTATAACATGCATCAAATAATTTTACTGTAGAAGAAATTATGTTCAGTAAGGAAGGCACAATATTCTCTTTATTTTAATGTTTAATGTACAATAACTAAGTTGTCACATAACTGCTATAGTATTTATACTGTTAAAATGAAATAATTAGTCTAATGAATACTGATCTTGAAATTGCAAATGTAACATTTGACTACAAAAATTATATCTTAATGTAATAAATGCTATTTATATTTCAGATAGCTTGAAAGGTATACTGACACTACTATAGACAGCTTTCTCTCAATATCCTATGATATTTTCATAGTAGTCTGTTCATACTTACAACACAAAAGTGAGATTTTTTTTCCCACTTCCTTCAGTTCATCCATTTTCTCTCTTCAAATTTCGGGACTCAGTCTCCCCTAGTAAACTATTATCCAAACTGTGCTGTTATTTCCTCTGATAAAGAAGCAATAAAATCAGGGGAAAAGTGTTTGATATGTGTTGTATTAAACATATTTTAATAGTTTACTCCAAAATTCTAAAACCAACATTATATTAACTATTCTTTTACAATTCCAAGAATAATATATGGATTTTCCCAAAATTTACTTAAATATGCTTTACTTTTTATTTAGGTAGCACTCATAATATAGACCAGATAATTATCTGAAGATAGTGTGAAAACACTTCCTTAAATAAATAACTTCTTCTGGGGCTGGGGTTGTGGCTCAGTGGTAGAGTATTTGCATAGCATATGTGAGGCACTGGGTTTCATTCTCAGCACCATGTATAAACAAATGAATAAAATAAAGTCCATCAACATCTAAAAAATATTTAAAAAAAGATCTCCCTTCTTTTGTTAAACTCATTATTAGGTACATAACACAATTTTGCAAGAGCCTATGATACAGGTTTTGACAGTAGGTAAAGAGGACAGTAGGAAATACTTGTCATTCAACCATTTATTTTTTAAAAAAATATTAAAAGTGTAGTACGAATCACACAGGCTATCAAATGAGAAAAAAAGAACTCCTGGTTATTTTTGGAGAGAGAAGTCATCATCTATAGGAATGTGCAATTTTAAGCATCATCCGTACTAAAAAGTAGGAGTACTTGGTAAAACCAGAAGACCGAGTTGTCATCATAAGTGGCTGTACCAGGGAATAAAATTGCCTCCAAAGGAGCAATGTTTCCTTGTCTCTAAGAGGAGCAAAACTGTAATATCCCTTCTTTTAAGGCTACAAAGGGAAGCTTATTATACTATATATAGCAGAATTTGAAGACTGAAAATATTATGATTAATTATTGATTGGAACCATTATATCTCTGTCAAAGTATTGTATGCTGTGAATCAATTGTCATTTGGAAGTTGATACTGAAGACAAACCAAGGATATGAAAACTTCACACAAATGTACTTAGTTTTAAGAAAACGAATTAAATGTATGCATTAAATACAAGTCAAAAAACTGAGGGTATTTTAAGCTTGGAGAGTATAAAAGTGTGAGATAAATATTTATAATGATAAAAATTGATATTACTGATAAAATGAAGGGATTACCCCCTTGCATATCATCAATAACCTTTCTCCTTCACATCTATGTCATATTTGATGGTCTGATACCCAATTTTTTCCAGTTTCTCTATTTTTTCTTTGCTAACCACATAATATTCTGATTCTTAAATGACTGAACTATTTAAACCTTTTGTTTATATATTAAATACACCTAATATTCTTGTCATTGTGGATACATTTAACTCCCCCAAAGAAATATAAGTGATTATCAATATTATGAAAATATTACACAGAAGTTTCCCCGGGGATTTTATTCATCAAATTTTCCCTCTGGAAACATAAAAATAGCTATTTCAGTCAAATACCTCAGAAGAAGAAATTTCATTGAGAGGAAAGAAGCATATACAATTTTTTCAATCCTCTTTTTCTTAAAAGATTAGCAGATGCATTGTAAAGAGTTTCAATTACAAAATATGAGATATTAACCCATTTGATCTTGCTGTTATTCATAGAGTTGACTTGCATTTGCAACATTGATCCTCAAATATTATCTACAATAGCAAGGAGGTAAAATGCAGTATAAATTACTTATTTTTTCCCAAAATAGCACAAACAAGATAAGATTATTCTTTTCATTTTGGTCTAAAAGATTGAGTCCTTCAATAAGCTTTTATTTATTGCCTACTTCTTCGGTTCTACAATAGAATATTTAGAAGGTTAGAAAGCAACTTCGTGACAGTCTTCACTCCCATTCAAATTGTAGACAAACTGAGGATTAGAACTCACACATCAAATGATAGCCAACCGACTATAGCAATATGGTACAAAGACACATGGAGATAAGACAGGTACTAAAGGATGTTGACAATTTTGGAAAATGTTAAATCAAGAGGCAATTTAAAAGTAGAAATATTCTGAGCCAAGTGTGGAGAGTGTGGATTATAAAAATTGTTATGTTTGTTCTGTTCTTTGATGACATGAGCCAAGTAGCCTCCTCAGTGCTCCTTTCATGTCCTTGTTCCTCAAAGTATAAATAAAAGGGTTAAGCATAGGAGTCAATAAACTGTAGAACAAGGACATAAATTTGTTCTTGTCCTGCGAGTTAGCAGCAGAGGGTTGTACATACATGATAATTACTGGTCCATAAAAAAGAGATACAACAATAACATGAGAACCACATGTATTAAAAGCTTTCTTCTTTCCCTCTGAAGATCGAATCCTAAGCACAGTAGCTACAATAAACCCATAGGAGATAAGGATAAGTGACAAAGGAACCAGGGAATAGAAAGTCCCCACAATTGAGAGCATAGCTATATTGAATGTAGTGTCAGCACAAGACATCTTGATCATCACTGGAACCTCACAGAGAAAATTATCTACCTTGTTGTTACCACAAAGTGGCAGCTGGACAGTGAGAGATGACTGAAGCAAGGAGTTAGCCAATCCACTTATCCAGGCCACGGCCACCAGGAAGATGCAGAGTCGCTGATGCATGATAGCTGGGTACCTCAAAGGCTTGCAGATGGCAATGTAGCGATCCAAGGACATCACAGCTAACAGGATGCACTCAGTGGCTCCCAGGAAGTGAAACATATAAAACTGGGTCACACATCCTCCATAGCTGATATACTTATCTGGGCCCCAAAGCTTAAGCAGCAGCTGAGGTATGGTAGTTGTGGTAAAGCACAGGTCCAAGAAGGAGAGGTTGGAAAGGAATAAATACATAGGGCTGTCAAGATGAGGATCTACTCTGGATACCACAATAATTGAAGTGTTGCCCACCAGTGTCCAGATATAAGCAACAAGCACCATAAAGAACAGGGGCATTTCCAACCATGGGTGGTTGGAGAAACCCAAGAGAATAAAGACCTCTGGAGCACTTGCATTGTCCAGATTCATGTTTGCTATTGCTCTTTTGGTAGATTCAAGTTAAAGCAAATACTCCACTGAAGTGAGTTGATGTTTGCAAGAATAAAAATTAATAAAAATATTACTTTTGTGGTACTTCTAAAAGAAAAACAAACAAATACCTTTATTTAAACCAAGAAATGCAGAATAGCAAAATTTTTATAAAATAATGAGATAAAGGAAAACTTACAATTCACCTTATGTTAGAGAGAGAGAGAGAGAGAGAGAGAGAGAGAGAGAGAGAGAGAGAGAGAATATAAAATGGATGAATGAATGAAACTACTCTACCGAGGAACCAGTAATGATAACTTACCACTTGTGTTCATTTCTTTCATCCATGATCTTCTGGCCCTGGCCATGCTCTGGTTAGATTTATGAGTTGATTTAGGAGTTCCAGATGTCTGGTTTGCATAGAAACAGCACATATTGTTTTCCATAAGTCTATTCTCCAAACTCTAGACTGACATTTTTTTATAAAAGGAACCATTCAATTAAAAAGAAATGAACCCTTGAATCATACTCAGAACTTGCAAAGCAGGAGAAACAATAATTGATTACAAAGATAAATGATTACAGACACCAAGCACTTATCAACATAGTCTGATTATACAAGTGATTTTCACAATGTGAGTTGTAATCTGTCCCATATATGTTATTCTATCAAGTTGTTTTTTTTTCCATTAGAAGTGGGAATATCTAAGTTTGCATAATATGAGTTATAATGAAAAATGTAGTTCTTACTATAGGCAATGGCAAAAGGTTTGAAAAACATTGATTTAGTAGAAAAAAAGCATATGAAATTTTAAAACCTGAATCTAATCCACTGCTAATGGTTAACACACATATCTTAGGTATCGTTTCTCAGAACCTCCCTTACTGTGAGGTCCAACATGTCTGACCACACTTTCTTAAGTGCAATGTTTCATTTTGAGCTGGATATTTTCATGAAATACAGTGTTTTGTTTGGTTAGGAGTCTGCTAAATAATTTTTCTTCAGGTTTTACCTAAATATCAACAATGTACAATTTTCTTCCCTTCCATTTCCTTTATTACTCAGATCACCTAACTTGAATCTGATGTTAGTGCTTTCAAGATTTTTAAACCAACCCACACTTATTTAATTAGTATAAATGCCCACTAATGCAAATAGTATCGCTATGCTAATTATAATGTTTGTTATTAGTATTAAAATGTGTCAGTTTATTTCCATGCTTTCTCACATGCAACTTTGCATTAAAAAGGTCAAAATATGCATGGAGTTGTGCAAATATTAAATCAAAACAGCTGAATCGATTATTCCCTCTCACATAAATCATTTACCTTCAATCAAATGATCTTCTGTCCTGGTGTCCTCCTTCTAAGAAAAAAAATTATTATTTTCATCAGAATTTAATATTAATTGGGGATAGGATTAAATATCTTCTCTATATTCAGTAGCTTTATTTCATATCATAAGTCAATACTTATTTGAAGGATCCCAAATCTTTTTTACATGCAGAAACCTATTTTACCCTAAAATAATTGTGTGAGGGCTTGGGGATACAGCCCAGCTATTGAGTGCCTAGCATGTATGGGCTCCAGATTCAATCTCCAGTACTCCCTAAAATATAACAAAAATAAACTAAAACATAGAATAACAGTTAAGGAGGAGTCTCAATCTCCTCATAAAGCTGTGAGACTTTGTTCTCTAAACAGATAATGAACCTCAGTGGAAATTTCTTGCCAAGAGACACTATAGCAATTCCCTTGTGGGTATTATTCCCTCTCACATTTTTTATCCCAATAAAATGAAATCATAAAAGTGATACCTGTTGTGGAAAATGGACTTGAGACATAAAGACACCTAGAAAACTCAATTTATCTCCAAAATTTTATAGGAAATTTCCTAGATTACCAGGAGAAAGTCAAGAAAATTACTTTTGATGTCAAGATTTGATTTTTATTTACATTCATCTCAAAATGTTATTTTGAGATTCTTCTATGCTAAGATATAGGAATCTTAGTTCTACATAGAGATGGAAGAGACAGTTACCTCCTAATATGTTTAAGAAAACAAAAAGCTCTTGTCTTTGGTTTTATTTTTCCCACAGTAGCTTCACTCAGTATTGACTATTTACCTAACCTAATATTGATGATATTAAAGTTCCTCATTGATTTGAACAATAAACACCTTGTGTCATTCATATACATTAATATTTCTTTTACTCATGTTTCATTTAGTAATGTTTCATTGACTCATCAGTAAATGTTATAGAATCCCTACTATCTGTCAATCACTCATCTAGATGCTTCAAATAAACATGAGAATCAACATCCAAAAACTTGCTGTAATGAAATTATACTCTAATACGGGAAGAATAGATTTGTGTTTATTGTTGGTGTCTTGATGAATTTAGCTCCAAAATAGATTCAATTACTAAACAAATCACAATGGCACAAGCTAATAATATGGCACAAATAAGTTTTGCACCAATAGATTTTTGACAAAAAGACTAAAAATTAAAAATATGAATCTAAAGGATTTTTAAACCTGAATTTCTTATTTAAGCAATTTTTTTTCTTTCACTCAGGCCTCACCAGTAGTTAAGGAATCCTTCTATAAAGTTTACATCAGTCTTCTGAGGTTGTTCTCTTTGTTCATATTTATGCTCTTGTCATTCTCTGCATTCTAGAATTTTATCATCTTCTAATTCTTTTTAAAAATTATTTAGAAGAGCTCTTTTTAATTCCTTGTTGTCATATCTTGATCTTCTTTCCTCCTCTACACACTTGCACCATGATATTCTGCCTCACCCCAGATCCAGAACAATGGAGTCAACCATTTATGGACAAAGACCTCTGAAGCTGGAAAGTAAAGTAATACTTTATATCTTGTCTTTAGAACAGAAGGTGTGAGTGATAATCACTAACCAGATGAAATTGCCACTATTCTATTGATAAAGAAAAAATATTATGACAAACTGAAGAGACAATAAAACACTGTCCTATCGCTGTGAGTTTTACTGAAGCTCTTTGGTGACATATAAATGCAGTGAAATATTAGATGAGCAAATACAGGTCACTAGTAGTTGGGTAAGAGGCAAAGGTTTTCAAAGTTGAATATTCACAAAATATTGCCAAATAACAGACAACTCAGCTAGAAACACAACAGCACCTACTGGAACTGGGTTAGAAAAGATGTGACATAAACTAATCCCCAAAAGCTGAAGGGTGAATGTACTCGATTAAATGTGCATGCTAACACACAACAAGGAGAGAGAGGAAGAATAGAAGTTCAGTAGATTAGACAAAGGAGAATAAAGAGAAGGGAGAAGGGTCAGGAATAGAAAAGACAGTGGAATGAATATGACTTAGCTTTCCTATGTACACATATGAATACACCACTGTGAATTGCCACTTCATGTACAACAACAAGACTGGGGTCCTAATTAGAATAAGATGTACACCATGTAAGTATAAATATGTCAAAAATACACTCTAGTATCTTGTATAACTAAAAATGAAAAAATGGACAAAAAATAAAATTAAAAGTCTTAGGCAAAGAAAGCTGTCTTTATCTATTTCAGGGAAATTGAATCTTCAGGCTTAACTGGCTCACATTTTTCTGTTTTTGTTGTTGTTGTTGTTGCTTTTGAACAATGCCTCCACTTCAAGGTCAACATCATTTGAGAATCATTAATAAATACTGGAATATATTCTCCAGTCCACACAGTTAGGTGTACTGCAGGTGCGTCTGGGAACTAAGTCTAATGAGTTTCCCCATGAAATTAAGCCAGCATAGCCACAAATATGGTGGCTGGAGACAGTTCCTCCCAACTGTTTGACTATCTGCTCAACCTGATGTGTCAAGTTCTTCAGTTGTCCCCACATTGGCGGTTTTGCATTCTGGGTCTACAGTCTTCTTCACCTTCCAATTCATCCTTCTCAGCTTCTTGTTCCTAGTGGAGATCAGGATCAATGCCTCCGCTTCAAGCTTCAGATCCTCCTTGATGGTGATGAACGTGCGGCACGCTCAGATACCCAGATAGGATAAACTGCACCTTTGAGTGACACAGACATGGCTTGTATGCCATATTATCCTGAATATTGTCCATTCCATGGTCCTGTTTGTAAGATTCTCCACCAAACTGGGCCTGACAGGCCCATTGCAGTGGTAGTCGGCTCAATAGTGTGAAATTCAACATCCAAATTTAAGAAATCTAAAACAAAGAGAGCATGATTCAAACAATTTTGTGGGGTTCTATCTCCCCCTTTGATTTTTGTAATGGTAATTTAAGGGACAAGTGAGATTGCTCTACAGTAACATGGCCTTGGGGATTATAATGAATACCTGTTCAGTGATCAATAAAACTGTCAAAAAGAAATAGATACGTAAGACAACTAGCAGTGTTAATTTATAAAGGATGGCCCAGCACTCCAAAAGCAGCTAAATGGAAAAAAAATGATTGATGAGTAGTTTTCTTCTGTATGAGAAGTGGTCAAAATGAAATGAGAACTAGTGTCAATAATAACATGAACATAACACTGACTGCCAAATTGAGAGAGGTGGTTTGGCTGAAAACCATGGGAATTAACCCTAATAGGTAAGACTAGAGTATGTATTACATTGATGAACAGTTGATGAAAAATTTGTTGTGTAAGCCAGAAGCATTCTGATAATGAAAATTTTGAGAGGCTTGAGCACAATCATTAGGAGACAACTACTGACAAGCGGCAACAAGACAATCATCTATAGCATTACCTGTTGGTAAAGGAATTTCTCATGTATCCAATAAAACAAGGATACTTATGCACTCAAATTGTGTTTTGTAAAGTATGAAATAAATGAAATAACTCTTCTGAATGTATATGTCCAATGGTAGCTGTTTCAATGTGCATAGCTACTCCAACTGTGTAGGCACAGTCACCATAGATATTAACTGGCTTATTAGCAAAATGAAGCAAGGCACAAATGAGAGCTTGATGATCTGCTCATTGTGCAGAGATGTAGG